GTGTAAGGGGTCAGCGTGTAAGGGGTCAGCGTATTTGTTTGTTTCTGTATTTTGCTTTTCCTCCAGAGGTACTCTGGCAGAGTTTATGACCGAGTAGAACGGGCCCAGAAAATAATGCCGACTAGTGAAAGGGAGCCAGGTTCCTTGTGTGAAGAGCAACACTTCATTCTCTCATTGTCTAAACAAAACAACAGCATATTCCAAACTGAGACATCGTTCCCCCCCACAGTCCACCCACGCATCTATGCCGACTCGCCAACTGCAGTCCCAAAACTGACCACCGAGTGGCACTGTTGGTTCACACTCTGAGTGGCAGGCCTGTTGATAGCAGGGTGTTGCGCCTGGCTTTCTTATGCTTTTCCACTCCATTTAAAAACGAAGGCTGAAGCCCAGGCGGGGGCAGGGATGGCTGCTGGGTGCAGGGCATTGGAGTCCTGCCTGGTGCTGGCTGGCTTGGGTTCTCTACTCCTTCGCCTTGAGTAAACACCAGCATCCTTTTCTGATGTGTGTTTCCCTCCTTTGCCTTCTACCTTTCCTGTGCGAATCAGCTTCATGCCACCTCCCTGACACTGCCGCCCCCTGCCTGCTCCTTTCTATACCCCAGTCCTCCCTCTGCAGTGTTCAGACCCAACCGTTGCGCTGGGTCTGTCGGTCTGTAACGCTGGCAGAGTTTGCATGCCCCCGCTACAGGTGCTGGGGGGGGGGGGGGGGGAGATTTCACACACTCGTCTGCAGAAAGATCTGATTATCCCAACTCCAATTTTTCTCTTTATTTGGCAAAGCAATTTTGTTGTGGATTTTTCTGCGAAAATAATCCTCCATAGACGATTATGATCTGAAATTCATGACTGTTTTTTTTTTCTTCTTTAGGAACAGGGGAATTTGTCTCCCGTCACAATTGCACTTGCCAAGAACAATGTAATTTGCTCTTGATGTAGAATTTGCCCACGGCTGCTGACTGGGATGCTCCTGGGCTCCGTGTCGGTAGGAAATTGTCACTGAATCAAGCTTACAAAGCAATAGGAATGAAGAATCAGTGGCTTCGCGTTGATCACATGGTGTAGATGCAGAGAGAGATTTGCATGTGATAAGCGTCCCCATGTCGGCCGTGGTTTTACGTGACCTTGGCGCTGTGTTTTCTGACCTCTGTATTTGTCTCTCTTTCTCTCTTTACTCCCTCTCTCCCTGATTCCTCCTCCACACCCTCGTGGGGTCACCATGGCGATAACATCTTCCTCTTAGTCTTCCCTGGATGTGTCGCGGTCAAAGGAGCGAAGCGCCAAGGCCAGGCGTGGGCTATCTTTGCGGCACTGGGGACGGCCAAGAGGGCACACCAAGGTACCAATACCTCGCCTGTAAAGTGGTGGGGGGGTAAGGGGCGTGAGGGGCGGAGCCAGGGACAGGCTGCGGCTCGCGGGAATTTCCTCCCGTCCGATGAGCAGCCAGCGTGCATCAATCAGCCGACGGGAAGAGCCGCCCAGGACCGCGCTGAGCCCGGCTAATTAACGACCCCATGTCAAGCCGTGGTGAAATTAAGAAGCTTTCCGGAGCATTTGTGCTGAGTCGGTGCGCTGGCACCGTGGCAGATGGGAGGGGGGGCTTTCGGGATCCTGCACGGCCGGGAAAACAGGGGGGTGCCGTCTTGTTTTTCGTTTTAAATATCCTCCCTATGAGAGAAAGGCTTTGCAGTGCTGTTCAGTTGGGAGCAGCATCCATTAGGTCAGTTTGTGCTGGATTAACAACTGCACCCCCCCCACTGCTCTGTTGTGCCTGCACCCCGACCCCCACACCCCTAAACCACAGGTCCACCAGCTGATGAGAGCGGCCAGGAGTGGAACGAAGGACGGTCTGGAGAAGACAAGGATGGCTGTGATGCGCAAAGTGCATTTCCTGCAGAGAAAGGACACCGCGGGTAAATCTGGGGTCTTTGTGCTCTGTGATCTTTGCTTCCCTGCATCCCCTTCAAAGCCTTTTTTAAGACCCCCGATTGCTTCATAACTGTTCTCCATAGTCAGATTCCATCTTCGGAGAGTTTATTGGTGCCCAGGAAGCAAAGTAAAACATTTTCTCTCCTGCTAACCATCTGTGCCCCAGTTTGAGCCGAGAAAAGAATCGGGGGAAAAAAACACTTTAAGAAAGATCCTGAGCAGCTTGTGCTGGAAATGGTGTCACTGGGATCAGCCGGGTTGCCTCTCTTTGATTATAAGGCAGAGCCGTGGCTGTCTGGGCCTTTTCGGTGTGAGGGGTAAAAAGAATAAGATGACAAATGGAGGAGTTCAGGCGGCGTGTCCAACCCTTCGCGCCCCACGACGAGGCAGAATCGGCAGCCATTAGTGCGGAATGATTAGGTACTTTAGAAACTATTCATAAGGTAGCCATTCCCGTGGGGTCTGGGGAACTGGGTCCGTTCTGGGCAGCTGGGACTTGAATTTTCAGGTTCAGATAGTGAGGGACCCGTGGTGATGTGCATTTTAACATTCTGGGACTGAAATACGATGCGTGACGGAGCTCGCGCCCGCATTGTGTGTGTGTGTGTGTGTGTGTGTGTGTGTGTGTGTGTGTGTGTGTGTGTGCGGGTCTCCCCTCAGTGCTCTGGGAATTCCCTGCTAGAAAGAA